CAGAAGGCTGGCGGTTCAAATCCACCAGCCACTCCTCGGAAGGAAGGTTGGGCAATCCTACTTCCGTAGTGATACTGCCTTGGGAACCCAAGGAGGGGTCGCTATGAGTCGGGGCCGACTCGACGGCAAATAACAACAACAACAACAATGACTGATAATGGGAAATATTTTTTCATGTGTTTATTGGCCACTGGAATATCTTCTTTGATGAAGTGTCTGTTCATGTCATCTGCCCATTTTTGAATTGGATTGTTTGTCTTTTTGATGTTGAAGTGTTGAAGTTTTCTATAAATTTTAGAGATACGTTTCTTGTTGGACATGTTGTTGCCAAATATTTTTTCCCAAATTTGTAGGTTCTCTTTTTACTCTCTTGGAGAAATCTTTGCATGTGTATAAGAATTTAATTTTCAGAAGATCCCAGTCATCTAGTTTATCTTCTGCTGTCTGTGCATTTTTGTTTATGTTTGATAATCTTTTTATGCCTTAAATCAGGGCCCCTAAGTTTGCCTCTGTGTTTTATTTAATGAACTTTACAGTTTTAGGTTTTCCATTTAGGTCTTTGCATCATCTTGAATTAGTTTTTGTGTATGGTGTGAGGTCTGACTCTTGTTTCATTTTTCTGCATATGAATATCCAGTTTTGCCAGCACCATTTGTTAAAGAGACTGTCTCTTCCCCATTGAATGAGTTTTGGCTCTTTGTCAAAGATCAGTTAACCATAGGTAGATGGATCTATTTCTGGATTCTCAATTCTGTTCCACTGGTTATTGTCTTTTGCTGTATCAGTACCATGCTGTTGTGACTACCATGGCTGTATAGTGGGTTTTGAGATCAGGGAGTGTGAGACCTTGTACTTTGTTCTTCTTCAGTAGTGCTTTGCTTATCCAAGGTCCCTTTCCTTTCCCTATAAAATTAGTGATGGTTTTTTTCATGTCCCTAAAGAATGTTGATGGAATCTGGATTGGAATTGCATTGATTGGAATTGCATTGAACCTATGGATTGCTTTGGGTGGTATTGACATTTTCACAATGTTCAGTCTTCTTGTCTATGAGCATGGTATGGTATGTTCTTAAGTTCTTCCATTTATGTAGGTCTCTTATAGTTTTTTGTAGTACTGTTTTGTAGTTTTCTTTATATAGGTCTTTTGGGTCCCTGGGAAGATTTACTCCCAAGTATTTCATCTTTTTTGTAGCTATTGTAAATGGTATTGCTTTCCTTATTTCCTTTTTGGAGATCTCTTTCTCCATGTGAGGAATCTGATTTTTGTGTGTTCATCTTGTATTCTGCCACTTGACTGAATCTTTCATTTCGTTCCAGTAGTTTACTTGCTGAGTCTCTTTGGATTTTCTGTCTATTGGATCATATCATCTGCAAATAGGGATCGTTTTACTTTTTCTTTGCCAATTTGGATGCCTTATATTTCTCTTTCTTGCCTTATTGCCTTGGCTAGGATTTGCAGTACAGTGATGAATAGAAGTGGTGATAGAGGGCATCTTTGTCTGGTTCCTGTTTGCAAGGAGAATGCTTTCAGTCTGTCTCTATTGAGAATAATGTTGGCTGTCGGTTTTGTGTATATGCCCTTTATTATGTTGAGGAATTTCCCTTCTGTTCCTATTTAAAGTTTTTTATTTGAAATGGGTGCTGGCTTTTATCAAATGCCTTTTCTGAATCAATTGATATGATCATGTGGTTCTTTTCCTTTGTTTTATTTATGTGATGGTTTACCTTGATTGTTTTTTTTAATGTTCAACCATCCTTACATACCTGATAGGAATCCCACATAGTCATGGTGCATTACTTTTTTTAATATAGTGTTAGATTTTATTGGCTAAGATTTGTTGAAGATTTTTGTGTCTATATTCATGAGGAATATTGGTCTGTAATTTTCCTTTTAGTGGTGTCTTTGCCTGGTTTTGGTATCAGGCTTATGCTTGCTTCATAAAATGAATTTGCTAGTATTCCATGCTTTTCTATGCTCTGGAACAGTTTGAGTAGGATTGGTGTCAGCTGTTCTCTGAATGTTTGGTAGAATTCTCTAGTGAGCCTATCTGGGGCAAGATAATTTGTTTGTTTGTAGTTTTGTTTTATGACCTGTTCAATTTGTTTTTTTGTTATGCGTCTGTTCAAATTTTCTACCTCACTATATGTTAGTTTAGGTAAGTAGTGTGTTTCTAGAAATCTGTCCATTTCTTCTAGGTTTCAAATTTGTTGGAATATAGTTCTTCATAATATCCTAATATTATCCTTTTTATTTCAGTTAGTTCTATTGGGACATCGCCCGTTTCATTTCTTATTCTTGTTATTTTCATCTTCTCCTTTGTTAAATTTGCCAGTGGTTTGTCAATTTTATTAATCTTTTCAAAGAACCAACTTCTAGTCTTGTGGATTATTTCTGTTGTTTTTATTTCATTTATTTCTGCTTAAATATTATTTCTTTTCTTCTTGGGACTTTAGGCTTTTTTGCTGTTTTTTTCTAATGGTTAGAGTTGTTGGGTTAAGATGTTGATTTTGGCTGTTTCTTCTTTTTTGAGGCATACATTTATTGCCCTTTGATTACTGCTTTTGCTGTGTCCCAAATATTTTGGTATGTTGTGCTTTCATTCTCATTTGATTCAAGGAATTTTTAAATTTCATTTCTTCCATTACCTAGTAGTTTTTAAGGAGAGTGCTATTCAGTTTCCATGTGTTTGCCTTTTTTTCCTTGATCTTCTTGTTGTTGATTTCTAATATTATGGCATTGTGACCTGAGAAGATGCTTTGCAGTATTTTGATGTTTTTAAGTTTTTTGAGGCTTGCTTTGTGGCCTAACATGTGGTCTATTCTTACGAATGTTCCATGTGCTCTGGAAAAGAATATATATTGTGCTATTGTATATGCCTATAACGTCAAGTTGGTTGATTGTAATTCTTCTGAGTTTTTAGAGTTTCTTTTTCGCTGCTCTATTCCATAGTGATACTGCCTTGGAAACCCAAGGAGGGGTCGCTATGAGTCGGGTCCGACTCAGTGGCACATAACAACAACATATATGCTTGTGGGTAGATTAATCCTTGGATAATTATATAATGCTTCGTCATTTTTTATGATGGTGTTTACCTTAAGGTCTATTTTATCAGACTTTTTGTATTGCCACTCTTGCTCTCTTTTGGTTATGGTTTCCTTGATTTATTTTTTTCTATTGTTTGAGTTTTAGTTTATTTATGTCTTTGTGTCCAAGATGTGTCTCTTATAATCAGGATATTGATGGATCTTTTTAAAATTTTTATTTTTTTTATTTTTAAAGTTATTGAGGCTTGGTTTGTGGCCTCGCATATGTTCTATTCTGGAGAAAATTCCATGTGCACTGGAATAGAATGTATATTGTGCTGTTGTTGGATAGAGTATTCTGTATACATCTATGAAGTCTGGTTGGTTTTGTTTAGATTTTCTTTATTTTAGTTAAACTTTTTTCTGGTTTTCTATCCTTCATTGAAAGTAGTATATTAAAGTCTCCTACTATCATTGTGTCCTGGTGGTGTAGTGCTTAAGGCATTTGACTGCTGACCAGAAGGTTGGTAGTTTAAACCCGTCAGCTGTTGTGTGGAAGGAAGACTGGGTAATCTACTTCTGTAAAGATTTACTGCCTTGGAAACCCAAAGGGGGTAGCTATGAGTAGGAATTGACTTGATGGCAGTGAGCTTGGTTTGGTTTGGCTTTATGTTTTCCATTATTTGATGAATAGGTTTGTTAACTTTCTTTGTATATATCATTAAAATGGAGCCCTCTGGTAATATCAAGGATATTGGTCATTTGGGTCCAGGGAGGGATAATGCTGTGAGAACTGGCAGGATTCTTTTAATGAACAAGGCAAGTCTCATTGCCAAGGGTTAAATGAAAAGCAGAATTTTAGTGACCTCATTAGAAGTAATGAGTTCATTGTATTCACTGCCTTCTATTAACCTTGTTGCATATCTTTCAATACTAATAAGCTGCTGCTGGATACTTAGTGGATTTTCTATGAAGATACTTACTGCAGTTTTTTGAAGGTGATGTTTTAGAGGGATTTTACTTCACCTCACTTTGAGGGAAGAAAATAGGCACAGAGCAGTTTGGTTTGTATAATGTGTCCTTAGTGTATTGGTAGCAAAGAAATGCAAGGCAAGTGATGAAGTGTCAATAATTTGTCATCATTTTTCTTCTGCTTATTTACAGCTACCCTAAAAATCAACAATGATATTAGAAGTGTAAAACGATTGCAGCTGCTACCAGAATCATTTATCTGCAAAGAGGAACCAGGTAATATAACCTGTGATTTAACTCTTGGGATGAAGCTTTGAGAGGTTCACTTTAAAAAACACTGAAAGAGAATATTCGAAGGAAGGAAAACTTCTAAATGAGATTAAAACAAATTCAAAACAATGTTGCCTCCTTTAGGAGTGCAAGGAATAAATCAGTTAAAAACAATTTTTTAATGGTTGTAAAAATATAGACAACATTTTTCTCATACACGATTCAGTGAGACCAGTTACATCAATCATGTGAAGAGTGCAAATATTTTGATTATAATTTGGGGAATTTCTGTTTCCTGTTTTTCTTAGAGTCATCTTAGAATGTTGAATTACTTTATATTTAACTGCTGTTATGAATGCTACTAGTGTATGGTTCATGTACTCTGATGATGCTTTGTAGTTCGTGTATTGATCTTTTGGGATATTTCTAGCGTATTTAGTATGGAGAGGCTCTGTGGTATTTTGTGGCAGTAATGCCACGTAACTTCATTATTGAAGCTTATTGGAAGAAAACTACTCAAAATGTTTGTCTAAACATGTATATACATGTGTATGTATTTACATGTGTATATTATATACACACACACGTGTATAAAAAACATTAAAGAAACACTGCCAGATACACTAAAATATTCTTAACATAATATAGTAGTAATGATGATGATGACTTGATGTGCATTGTACAGTAGTGCCCATTTATTATTACGAACCATACTATGTACCTCAAATTCTTAATATAACAGACTTTATGGTGGTGCTTCATTTCTACCTATGGGTTGTACATAAGTTGGACATTCATAGCCTGGGGACTATCTGTAAATTTAGTTGCTGTTTGATACAGATTGGGATTTTACCCAAAGATTGCATTGTAGGCATGGTTTTCTTTATAATTTATAAAAATATTTACAGTTGCAAACAAGACAGATTTTCCTTTTTGTTATTTTTAATTAAACCCAAGTTATAAGAGGCAGGTAGGTGATCAAAGAACACATGGGTAGAGGGGGAACTAACATCTTCCCATTGCCTGTGATGTGCTAGACACATGTCTTTGCATTCATTATTTCAGTTAGTCCTCGTAGTAAACAGAGGAGGAGGATTTATAATCCAGAGGGGGAGTGGTGCAGTGCAATGGGGAGATGGCATTTAGTGTCTAAGAGAAGGATGGCTGGATCCAGACCCTTGCTTTGAAGGCCTGCAGACATATTCTTGTTAGTTTCTAGAGGTGATTAGGCCTTGAGAGACTGACTTATGCTAACCAAAACTGGTGGGAAAAGGACATAGCAGAATACATGTTCATAAAGGTTTCTGGTAGGACACAGAATTTGGGCATTAACTGAATTGAACATTTAATGTCAGACTTGACCAGTGTTTCTCTACCTTTATTCATTATTGTCTCCTTAAGGATCCTTTTGATCCCTGAGTGATCTAATAGTTAACACATTTGGACCAAGCACCTTGGAAGAAAGATCTGGTGATCTACTTCCGAAATACCAGCCATTGGAAACACTAGGGAGTACGGTTTGGCTTTGACACACTTTGGGTCAGAATTGACCTGATGGCAATTGATTCAGTTCAGTTTTAAGGATCCTTTTTTAGAGTTTTTTCTTCTGTTGTCCGTGAGCTCTACAGGTTGGGCACAGCTCTGTTAATTTGATATTTTGGGATTTTTAGCTTTCCGTCTCAGATTCAGTTTTATCAGTCACAGACCATACCTCCTTTTCTACTAGGGACTTTGGTTTATTTTTGTAGGAATTTTATTTGTGAATATTTATTTTTCCCTTTGATTTGGTTGGCAGAAGTAGAGAACACCATTACAAGTTTTTCCACTTGATTTTGTGTTCTAATTTTTCATTAAAAAAAAAAAATTCTAGAGGAAAATGTAGCCAAGATGTACAAAGATCTTCAGAAGCTCTCCCGGCTCTTCAAAGACCAGCTGGTGTATCCTCTTCTGGCTTTTACCCGACAAGGTAAGACATGATCAGTTATCACAGGTTGATGAATGGCTAGAAAAGAATACTGAATTTACTTAGCATGCTTGGTAACTCCATGACATCTGACCTCCCCTTTTTCTCCTAGTTACGTCTCCTCTTTTAAGACTAAGGTTAAATTTTAGTACCTTAAATGGTATTCTTCCTCTCTTGTTTACCAAAAACCAAACTTACTGCTTTTATGTTGATTCCAATGCATAGTGACTCCTCCTTGGGTTTCCGAGGTAGTATCTCTACGGAAGTAGATTGCCCAGTCTTCCTTCTGAGGGTTTGAACTGCCAGCCTTCCAGTTAGCAGTCAAATGCCTTAGGCAATATGCCACTAGCCGTGGCATTTTATACATCTTTATAATGGCCCCAAGGAGCCATGGTGGCACAGTGGTTAAGTGTTCAGCTGCTAGCTGAAAGGTCAGCAGTTTGAACCCACCAGCCTCTGTGGTAGAAAGATGTGGCAGTCTGCTGCCGCAAAGATACAGCCTTGGAAACCCTAAGAGGTGGTTCTATTCTGTCCTCTAGGGTCACTATAAGTTCAGAATCGACTAGATGGCATTGTTTTTTTTTTTCTTTTTTTAGTATTTTGGCTTTTTTCCCAGTGTATCATAATAGAGCTATCTTTCCACTTAAGCTTGTGAATACCTTGAAAGCAGGGAATGTGTCTTATTCACTTTTGTATCCTTATGGTGCAGCACAGAGTCTGGCCCATAATAGGTATTTAGTAAATATGTAAATAATGGGTAGCCTGTCAGTTGGGTCTAGATCTTTTTTTTAAACCAGCATTTGTCGAGACTCCGCCAGGCACTTTGTTGGATGTTTCACATGCATCTTATTGAACGCTAACAACAGCTTTGAAGTAGATTTTCCTGTATTTATTTTATAGACAATGAAATTGAGTCAGGTTTGTATTTCATACATGATCCCTTCATTGGTCAGCTGTCTCGAATTTGTTCTGTAGTAAAAGTATTAAAAAATCTCATAAGTTAGGAGCTGTTTATTTCTTGCTCATGCACATGTTGTGTGTGAGTTCGTGATGGCTGGGATGTTCTTTTCTTGGGGCAGATGGAAAGTAGGGCCAGTGGCCCAACCATGTTTGATATGTGTCACCTCCACTCACAGTTCATTGAACAAAACAAGTGAAAAATGGCCCAGCCTGATGAGAGTGGGCCGAGGAGCTCTAATTAGAGGGTAGGAACTGAGTGGCTGAGAACCGTGATACAGGCTGCCACTTTTAGCCACTTTTAGCTGGTAAGTGGCTTCAGACTCAGACACATATACAGGCTGAACTGTGGCTTTTATTTGCCAACTGCATGTGTAGGAAGGGATGATAATTTAGGTGTCAGTTGCACGATGCCATGGTGATTATTGCCGTAATTTTCCTCTTCAGTTGGTGGTGGGGGGAAGGGGAATAATGGGAATTTAAAAACTCTTAGATACATCCTGGGAGATCTGGTAGTGTAGTGCCTAAAGCATTTGACTACTAACCAGAAGGATGGTGGTTCAAACCCACCGGCCATTCCTCGGAAGGAAGGTTGGACAATCTACTTCTGTAGTGATACCGCCTTGGTAACTCAAGGAGATGTCACAATGAGTCTGAGCTGACTTGACAGCAGTGAGTTTGGTTTTTTGCTTTAGATATGTCCTAGTTGGGTTTTAATTGTCTTTGCTAGTAGAGAGTTGTATCACAAATATTCCAAAAGAATTAATACTCAAAAAATAGTTGCATTTTACTGTATAATATGTTATTTTTCTTTTCCTTTCTTCTCTTGGCTTTGCTTCTGAATGTATCAGCACCCCTCCCCCCCCTTTTTTCCCAGCCTGGTAGACAAGAAATAATAGTAATTGCTAACACTCGAGTGCTGCTTGTTATGTGCCAAACACTGTTCTACGTGCTGTTTATATATTAACACATTTAGTTCTCACAACAGCTCAGTGAGCTCAGTCATGTTATTAGCCCACTTTACAGATGAGGATGTTGAGTCAGAGGCTAAATAACTGATCCAAAGCCACAGAGCTAATAAGTGGCAGGGTGGAGAATCAGTTATAAGAGCTGTTTTTTATAATTGAATAGAGAAATGTTGTTACATTGAATATTGCTTGGATTAAAAGAGGTCATTGGCTAGTATTTAGAAATGGTCATAGTTACTTGTAATGAAGCTTGATCTGTATGAACAAGTATTGGCATTCCCCTGAAATGATAGAGGGGGTAAAGGGCCTGGAATTATGTGATCTGGTAGTAATACAGGCAGCCTTGGGCTAAACATTATAGATCATGTACTGTTGGGTAATTGAACTGACCACCTAATATGTTACCTATTTAGGAAGCAGTGTAAGGAGCTCTCGTGGTACACTGGTTAAGGCATTTGCCTGCTAATCATAAGGTCTGTGGTTGGAACCCACCAGCTGCTCTGTGGAAGAGAGATTAGGCAGTCTGCTTCCATAAGGATTTACAGCCTTGGAAACCCAATAGGGATCGCTATGAGTTGGAATTGACTCGAAGGCAGTTTTTGTGGTTTAGGAAGCAATAAGCTGGCAACTTTTCTTGACTCTGTGGAGAAAGCTGAATGTTCTTTACTCACTAAAACCTGCTACTTCTCTCTCTCTCTTTCTAGCCCTGAACCTACCGGATGTTTTTGGGCTGGTGGTCCTCCCTCTGGAGCTGAAACTACGGATCTTCCGACTTTTGGATGCTCGCTCTGTCCTGTCTCTGTCTGCGGTGTGTCGTGACCTCTTCATCGCTTCAAATGACCAACTCCTGTGGAGGTGTTTGTATCTGCGGGATTTTCGAGGTGATTCCCGTGACGTGTTGGCAAGAAGAGGGCCTTTCCTGTCAAGGTCTTGATTACTCAGCTTGCCAAAGATTTTCAGTTGTAGGCTTATTACTATTATTTTTTTTAACAGTTGGAAGTGATCATAAGTAATAGCCTTAGACTAGAGAGATTCTAAGCTTCGTATACATTTGTCTGACTTGAAAATACTCTTCCCATTAATTTAGGTGTTCTTCACAACACAAGTGGCTCATTAGACAAAGTAGATTATTTAAAGATAGAAAAAACGAAGACAGGTTTATTTTTCCTGTATAGACCATCCTCAGTGTCTGTATCATTCAAATTTGAACATCTAGATTTTCAATCATCTTGTGGTCTACATTTGTAAATAAATTAGGGACTCCCTATAATTTAAACTTAGATTTGAATATGTAAATCAAATGGTACTTTTTGTTTGAATGTATTTCTATCACACCTCATTTTCCCTCATTCTTTCAATGTGCTGGTAATTTCTTTTTCTGTTAATGATTGCAGTCAGAACTTAATTAAGTCTACTGAGAAAATTCTTTCTACCAAAATCTTAAAAAAAAAAGATACTTCTTTACTCCCAGTAACTGTGGATTGACATTGCATGTTCATTTTTATGCTTAATGAGTGAACTATTCCTGATGCCCCATATAAGGACCTATGGACAGTTGATATTCTGTCCAGTATGGTCAGAGTGAGAAGTTAGTTTTGAAGTTTATACTAAAAAGAATGATGCCATGTCTTCTAAGCTATTACAGACACCTGTATAGCTTTGTTGTGTAGAACTAAGGGATATGCTACGTGATTTATAGCATATTTCTGTATCACTATTTTTCACAGAAACTGTCATTTAAAAAATATTCTTAGGAAGGTTTCTGAAGAACAAAAGTAGCTTAGAGTCTGAGCAGAGCCTCCTCCTGTTTGTTTGAACTTCAGAGTGTCAGGCATCCGCAAGGCCTGCCTTGTCTCTTTTCCTCCTTCTTGATACCTAGCTCTTTTCCCATGGTAACTCTGCCCCTGATCCAAAAGATAAAGTGCGATTTTGTGATGGGAGGCTGCAAATAAGAGTGTCATCTCAAAAAAAAGTTCTATTTAGAGTCAAAAGAGAATATGACCAACTTGTATGGGGGAACTAACACCGATAAGATAGGCACTCACAGGAATAGTTGTAAGAGGAATAAAGACTCTCTCACTTGTGTATTCAAGTCCAGGTGTAGTTACAGCATTATAGCCAGTCACTATCTCATTGCCAGATTGTGGACCACAAGCACATTTGTAAGCTGAGTGTTCAGATTTTAGAATGAATTTTCTTATCGATGTAACTTATCAGGCAGGAGGTTCTTACTGCCTTCTTCTCATAGAGAATAAATCACTATTTTTTATCCAAACTCTTCATTAGACTTAACAAAGCTGAAGGATTTCTCTTGTCCTATTTCCCAAATTTCAAATAAGCACACGTTTAAAAAGTGCTCAGTCCTGGCCACACTTCTGAGAGTGGGTGGCTGGGAGGAAATAAACCACCTCAACATGGAAGAGAGCTTGAAGTCAACTTTACTTCCCCTCGTGAACGGGAGCTGTCATGTAGATGCCCAGAGGTGGTCACCCGGTGTGGTGTAGCCTGGGATGTGGGTTGGAAGCAGCTGACACTCCTGGATGTGAGGGGAGATGATGTCACACCGACCAGTGAGTGCAGGGAGAGAGCTGCCATGTATCCTCTCTGCTCCCTCAGGGAGTCAGTGCATTCCTTTACCATGGAGCACAGAACAATGATGGTCACCCTCAGCCATCAAGAAAGGGATTGAATTAAGTTCAAGAAAGTACAGTGAGACCACATTATAGAAATGATTCATGCTTATTTTTGTGTTGAATGAGTACATTTCAGTTTTCTTAGGAAAGAGCAAACAAACTGTTTAATGCTAGATGAATGAAGAATTTTTTAATCCTATTTTTCGTTTTTCCTTTTTAGATAGTACTGCCAGAGCTCGAGACACAGATTGGAAAGAAGTATGTATTCTTAAATATTAAGGCTACTATATATAACAGCAATAACTAGTAAATTAACACATTAAAGATATATTTTCACCTTTATTATGAGGTGATGAAATCTGTTTCATTAAATTTATAGCTGCATCTCAGTAAATTAAAATGATTTCAAGTTTACCTTCTATTTTGTTTGTTGTGTGCCACGTCAGTTCTGACTCATAGTAACCCTACAGGACAGAGTAAAACTGCCCATAGGGTTTCCTGGGCTGTAATCTTTATGGGAGCAGATGGCCAGGTCTTTTCTCCTGTGGAGTAGCTGGCGGTTTTGAACCACTGACCTTTTGTGTAACAGCCAAGTGCTTACCCATTGTGCCACCAGGGCTCCTTAGACTTAATGCATATTTTCCTGTAATTACACAGGAAAAAAATCTTAAAACAATGATTGTTTTTCACCTACACTTAATATAGAACATTTTCACTTCTTTTGTTGTGAAAAAAATTACAAGATAATCATCTTTGTGCTGGAATTGTCTGTTATGGTTACCTAGTGCTGCTCTGACAAGCATATACCACAAATGGAACGGCCTTAACAAACAGGAGTTTATTCTCTTACATTTCTGAAGGCTAGAAGTCCAAGTTCAAAGTGCCAGGCTCTAGGGGCTAGGTGAAAGCACTTGACCTTGGGCTTCAGCTCTGCCTCTTGTTCTCGGCCCACTGAAGCTAGAGGCATCTCTTCACTCAGGCAGCTACTGGCTGCTGAGGCTAACAAGCCCAAGGTCGACAAATAAAATGGGGCAATCCCGATGTTACCAAACCACATGGCAAGCCAATAATTCAAGTCCATTGTAAGTCCCAAGGTTGGCAGAGCATGGCAGGCTGCTGAACAATGACATGGCTACATGCAGGGTCCAAGGACCATTCCCAAGGCTTCTCCTTATATACAGGAAGCAGACCACATCCCAAAGGCAGCTACTCTGATGCTTGTGGTAGATCCCACTATGGACTTGATTGCCAG